GCCTCGGCCTCCCAAAGTGCTGGGATTACAGGCTTGAGCCACCGCGCCCGGCTAACCCTGTCTCTTAAAAAAAAAAAAAGAAAAAGAAAAAGAAAAAGAAAGAATCTGAAACCAATAATACAAAGAAGGCAAAGGAAAAGATACCCCTTCACGTCTTTAGTCCCAAATGCACAAAATTACGTGACTGACACCATGAAGTTTCAGCACATTCTCTTAACATAACAGTCATTTATGAGCCTTGCCCCCCAAGCAGCCAGCATATACCTTTTCATTTACTTTTTTTTAAACTTCATAGCAAAATCTGTATTAAATTTGTTTTATGAAAAAAATAGAACTTTTTCTATATTTTTCTAACAATTTCCTATTGTGAGAAAAGGAAGATGAACGTGTCTTGTGCTAGCTGGTAACTCAAAAATGTAAAACCAAAAAAAAAAAAAGAAAAAAGAAAAGGGACTATTCAGTGGATTTATATCTGTTTTTCTTGTTATTAGGGTAGTAACCTTGGAAAATGAATTATTTTCATAAGTTGAAATTGGTTAGTTGGTTGGTTGAAGCAGAGGATAATGAACAAATAATGTCCTTGTCTAATTTGGAAAACATTTTCTCTATGTTATTAACATTTCCCAATTTTACTTTTTAAGTTCATAATTATGTAATGTTCAAAGTTGATTGTAAATTATTCTAAATAAGTAAATATAAGGAGGCAAAGGCAAGAATAAACAGAGAAGACTTTATTAAAGAAGAGTGGGGCTGGGCACCGTGGCTCACGCCTATAATCCCAGCACTTTGGGAGGCCAAGGTGGGTGGATCACAAGGTCAGGGGTTTGAGGCTAGCCTGGCCAAGATGGTGAAACCCCAGTCTCTACTAAAAATACAAAAATTAGTCAGGCGCGCTGGCGGGTGCCTGTAATCCCAGCTACTCTGGAGGCTGAGGCAGGAGAATCATTTTAACCTGGGAAGCCGAGGTTGCAGTGAGCTGAGATTGCACCACTGTACTCTAGCCTGGGTGACAGAGCAAAAATCTGTCTCAAAAAAAAAAGAGTACATCGTAGATTCAGGTGTCTTTTAAAGGTACTATTCAGAATGACTGTATGAAGAGGAGGAGGTCCAGTTTTGACTCCTGAAAAAAAAGAAAGAGAATTTTACCCCTATTTGCAATGGAGAAATACAGTATTCTTTGGTTTGGTTGGATTTGCAAATCCTATTTTGTATCAAAGGAAATATCTCTAAGCTACTGGATGTTTTTAGAATATTGACAATTACTAGGTATTAACTAATAAGATATAGAAAAGATAGCTTTGCTTTTTTAATCAGAAGAACATAAAATAAATTGCAATATGAATGACTGTGAGACATCAGAGAAATGTTTTACTCAGTGATATAAACTACTGTACATTGCTGCTATTCCTAGGAAGCTGTGTTTTGGGCAATACATGGAACCTGAATATATGACCAGAAATGCTTTCTGCCTTGTAATATAGTGTATTATATATTAGAGCTAAGTTTAGTAAAAAATACATTTTGAAATTTGGAAACATGTTGTAATAAAGTTACCTTTAACTTTAAAAAAAAAAAAAAGGAATGGATGAAATTAAAATTCTGAAGTTTGCATACCTAACCATGCACTTATGGTATTCAGAGTCTATTTCATTCATATGCCACATGCATAGAATTTATTGCAATTGCAACTATGCAGCATCAAGTTGTTGCAAAGGAGCCTCTGGAAAGAACTTTCCTTCCTCCCAATGTGTATGCGTGCATGTATATGTAATACTTCTACATATAATGAAGGTTATATATATGTGTAATTGTATTATACCATATATAATTGCATACATGTACATAATAAATTTATATAATCTTCAATTACATGTATATATATTATATATACATACACACATATTGGGAGGAATATATACAATATATACATAATGGAAAATATAGAATTGAAGATGAGCATATTTAATATTTATCAAAGGGTAAAGGAACTTATCCACAGTTTGGATCAGAGCCTCAAAATCTAAATTCATGCCATGACTAGCGTTTTTAAGATGTTGACTTCCCAGGACCCTATTCTTTTAAACCTGATTCAATTTTTTTTTTTTTTTTGAGACAGAGTCTTGCTTTGTTGCCAGGTGCCAGGCTGGAGTGCAGTGGCACGATCTTGGCTCACTGCAACCTCCGCCTCCCGGGTTCAAGCAATGCTCCTGCCTCAGCCTCTTAAGTAGCTGGGACTACAGGTGTGCACCATCACGCCTAGCTAATTTTTGTATTTTGTAGTAGAGACGGGGTTTCACCATGTTGGCCAGGATGGTCTCGATCTCTTGACCTCGTGATCCACCCGCCTCGGCCTCCCAAAGGGCTGGGATTATAGGCGTGAGCCACCACGCCAGGCCACCTGATTCAATTTTTGTGCCTACCAAGAAAGGCACCAAAGATTTCTTTAGGAGGAAATACCTGGTATTCTTATTAAACTTTTCAAAAGACATCGTTTATGTGATCTCACTAGGTTTCTACAGCGTTCCCAGCCTTAGGAGGCAGGCAGAGTGGTATTGCCAATCACATTTTTGTAGACACAGGCTCAGAGAGGTGACATTACCTGCTGGATGTCACACAGCCCATCTGGGACCTCAGGGCTCAAGCCCCGACCTCCTGGCCCCAAGTCTGGCCTCTGCCTGCGGACTCCCAGCTCTTGCTGTTGCTAGAGTGTGTGGTTCCTTTAGTTGGCATGTCCACATTCCTGGGTTGTCCAGGAACACACATTCTTGGAGAGGAAGAGGAATAGATATTTTAGCCACATACAACACACTGAGCTTGCCAGACACCTAATAGGGACACTCAATAAATATTAATTAAAGAATGCAGCCACATTGGCTTACGCGCTGGCCAGATCCTTTAAAGTGTCAAGAATATTCCATGAGAGATTGAGTGTTAGGCTGGAAGGCTATGTGGAGGCGGAGAGGACAGAAACGTATGGAGTAATGGAGTGCATTCTCTTGGAAGATGAAAATACCCACCCGCCCCAGGGGGAACCTATCTGTCACTGTCACAAGCACATAAGGAGGAAGGGAACGTGCGCTTGTGGAGTGCCTTCTGGGACCTGCATTTTTCTTGCTGGAGTGGGATTTATTCTGCTTCTCCTGTAACTTCTGCATCTCCAAGGCCAGTGGCTGACAATAGGGAAGAGCTGGTTGAGACCAAGGGTGGGTGCGACTCGTGGGGTGTGCAGTGGGGTGGGCAGGAGAGAGAATGGATGGGCCCACCCTCTCCTAGTGCCATGAGGGATTTACTGCCCACTGAGTAGGTGCTCTTCAGCTTGTCTGTCTTGACAGCAGAGGTCTACTTGGATAGGCAGTTCTGGGCACACACCACCAATTGTCGGGGTCTCTCCCCTAGTCTGAGTGTTCATGCTCACACAGCTGGTGTACCCTGGAATCCAGGGGCTTGGAAGAGGGGGAAACTGAGCTGGAAGTGGAGAGTGAGGCAGAGGCCTGGATAGGAAACCCCTGGGGAGCCCCCAGCCTGAGGGCTGCTGCCCATTAGACTAAAGTGCCAGGAGGAGGAAGGACATGGGGGCAAACGGGGGTCTCAATTCCACCCAGAGCCTGTGCCTGCCCTCTGTGCCTACCCTCTGTGCCTACCCTCTGTGCCCACCCTCTGTATCTAGCCTCTGTGCCTACCCTCTGTGCCCACCCTCTGTGCCCACCCTCTGTGCCTACCCTCTGTGCCCACCCTCTGTGCCTACCCTGTGTGCCCACCCTCTGTGCCTACCCTCTGTGCCTACCCTCTCTTTGCATTGGGAACTGTTGCGTGCAGAAAGCACAAGTGAGGAAAGTGGGGCTCCTCTGGGAAAGCCAGAACCCAGACATGGATCAGGCTCCTGGGGCTTTTTCAGATGAGCTCATCCCTGCTTTCCTAGGCCTCTTTTGGCATTGAATGGCATTTTCCTTTGGTTCTTTCAAAAGCAAGATGTGTTTGTGTAATTTTAAACAAGTGACCAATTTCAGATTAACGTCAGAGAGTTTCTTCATCATCTCCATCATCAAATTTCACTTAACATGCTCTGCCCATTCCAAGAGAAAAAGAGGAATGAACGTGAGCTCTATTTGGACATACAGCCATTTAGTCCAAAAATGCAGCCGGCAGAGATTCCACAGCTGGAGAGCTGACTGGTAAGCACCCTGTATAAGTGAACGTGCTCAGCGGGACGGAAGGAAGAGGCCTGAGGGGATGTGGGAGGGAAGGGAAGGGCTCCGGGTCACTCAGGGTTTTGTATGCCCAGGAAGGGAATTTGTCTTTGATCCAAGGGCGTGCAGAAGCCCCGCGGGGTGGTACTGCCCTCAGACCAGCACTGAGCCCGGCTGCCTGGCAGGGGAGGGGGACTGGGTGGGTCTGAGGAAGACGACAGAGGCTAGGCTAAGGTGTGGACCAGTCCCAGACAGATGCTGGGTGGCTGTGGTGTGTGGACCTGGAGAAAAGCAGATGAGTGGAGAGGCATTTTGGAGGTAAAATGGATAGAACTGGAGTTGATAGGATAAGAAGTGAGGGAGAGGTTTGCTGTTCTTGGTTTCTGGCTGTGACCACTGGATGGTGAGGACTGAGCTTTCTGAACATGGAGTTCTGGAGGAAATGCCTCCAGAGTGTTTGGGAGTGTCAGAGGTGGTTGAACCAGGGCAACTCCATCTTGAATAGGGGCTGGGTAAAATGAGGCTGAGACCTACAGGGCTGCATTCCCAGAAGGTTAGGCATTCTAAGGCGCAAGATTAGATAGGTCGGCGCAAGATACAGGTCAAAAAGACCTTGCTGATAAAACAGGTTGCAACAGGTTGTAAAGAAGCTGGGCAAGACCCACCAAAACCAAGATGCTGATGAGAGTGACCTCTGGTCATCCTCACTGCTACGCACCGTGACAGTTAACAGATTCCAGGGCAACATCGGGAAGTTACCTTACATGGTCTAAAAAGGGGACACATGAAGAATCCACCCCTTGTTTAGCATATAATCAAAAAATAACCATAAAAATGGGCAACCAGCTGTGCTCAGGACTGCTCTGTCTATGAAGTAGCCATTCTTTTATTCCTTTACTTTTTTTTTTTTTTTTGAGATGGAGTCTCGCTCTGTTGACCAGGCTGGACTGCAGTGGTGCAATCTTGGCTCACTACAACCTCTGCCTCCTGGGTTCAAGTGATTCTCCTGCCTCGCCTCCCGTGTAGCTGGGACTACAGGCGCGCGCCACAACACCCAGCTAATTTTTTGTAGTTTTAGTAGAGAAGGGGTTTCACCGTGTTAGCCAGGACGGTCTGGATCTCCTGACCTCGCGATCCTCCCGCCTCGGCCTTCCAAAGTGCTGGGATTACAGGTGTGAGTCACTGTGTGCTCGGCTGAGGCCTGATCTTTTTATTTTATTTTATTTTTTTAAAGACGGGGTTTCACCATATTGGTCAGGCTGGTCTTGAACTCCTGACCTCAGGTGATCCACCCGCCTCAGCCTCCCAAAGTGCTGGGATTACAGGCATGAGCCACCGCGCCCGGCGAGGCCTGATCTTTAACTTGAATCATGTTCTGCCTCGTTGGCTGTAATGATGGCCGCCTAAGACAGGCATGGGTGGCTGGCAGACCAGGTAGAAGGAAACCTGATCTTTCTCTCTCTCTCTTTTTTTTTTTTCCAAACAGAGTCTTGCTGTGTTGCCCAGGCTGGAGTGCAGTGGCATGATCTTGGCTCACTGCAACCTCCACCTCCCGGGTTCAAGTGATTCTCCTGTCTCCGCTTCCCAAGTAGCTGGGACAGGCGCGTGCCACCATGCCTGGCTAATTTTTTGTATTTTTAGTACAGACGGGGTTTCACCATGTTAGCCAGGATGGTCTTGATCTCCTGATCTCGTGATCCGCCCGCCTTGGCTTCCCAAAGTCCTGGGATTACAGGCGTGAGCCACCCCACCCGGCCAAGGCTTGATCTTTCTCTTCATCCCCTTTTGTATTCTTGGAATTGTGTACCACTCTGCATGCATTGTATTCAAAATGCATTCAAAAATCAATAAAACAGAAGAAGCAAACAAAAGGTATCAAATAATTTGACTTCTGGAAAAATACACTACAGTGTTCAAACTTGACCGCGGACGGTGGGTTCCGGTGTTTGGACTGATGACGGGGACTCTCTGGGCTATGTAACCTTTATAATTCCTCCTGGCTCTAACCTCATTTTGACTGCATTTCTCCAACTTTTTCTTTTATGGTCTACCAGACTCTAACAATGTGAAATAACATCATCTTCCCCCAACCTTGAAAGCCTTCAAAATAAATGTTTATGGGATAGAGGGGGATGAAAACTAAATTGGGCACTGCAGAATCCTGCCCACTGGGTATCTCCTCTCCATGAAAATGAATCCCTCTTCACTTCCTCCTTGCATCTCGTAATTACCAGGGGAGATATTTCCAGGACACAGGAAAATATGTATGACTCATAGTAGTACTAGAAAAGAACTCAAAACACATTGTTTTTTCACTTAGCCCTCTCTTATTCCAACAGGGTAAAGATTTCCCCAGCTCTTTGACAGAGTTCTAATTGGTCCTTATAAAACCCACCCAAGGGGCCGGGCGTGGTGGGTCGCGCCTGTAATCCCAGCACTTTGGGAGACTGAGGCCGGCAGATCACTTGAGGTCAGGTGTTCGAGACCAACCTGACCAACATAGCAAAACTCTGTCTCTACTAAAAATACAAAAATTAGCCGAGTGTGCTGGTGCACGCTTGTAATCCCAGCTGCTCAGGAGGCTGAGCCAGAAGAATTGCTTGAATCTGGGAGATGGAGGTTGCAGTGAGTTGGAATCACACCACTGCACTCCAGCCTGGGCAACAGAGCGAGACTCTGTCTCAAGGAAAAAAAAAAAACCCCACACAAACAAAATCCCAGCCACAAGAAAAAGTAGCTTCCTTCTTCATTACCCTATCACTTGGACAATTATCTCCTCTAAAAACTCATTTCCTAGGCACAGAAGATTAGGCAAAATGTGCTTATTGGGCAGCTCAGACCTCAGAATCCATGATAATATGCTAATTAGCATCTGTGTACCACTTGGTTTACATAGCTCTTGTGGTTTACTGGGGCTCTTGTGGTGTAAACGCCTCCTCCCAGCAACCTGCTGTGAGGACTTTGTTCTTGGAGCCTCACACTGAGTCTGGCACACAGAAGACACGAGACATTGTGAATTTCACATTTGTAGTATGAAGAAGATACACAGACTAGAAACTGACTTTCCTAAGGTCTCGAAGCTAGTAACAGAAAAGTCTATTTAATCCTAAAACTGAGCTGAGGGCCTTTCTAGTCTTGCAGGTCTGCATCAAGAGAATGACCAAGAAGCCTTGGCGGTCACTGCTTCAGTGGGTCCCAGTACGTGCCGGGGGCAGCATGTGCGGCCACCTGTATGACCCCTTTGCTCTAGTCCCAATTCCCTACTACAGGTGAAGCATCACTCATCCCTCCGCAGGCTTTCCGTTCTGATTCACCGTTACCTGTGTGTCTCATAGCTCAAATCCTAACCAGCACTTACTAGGCAGAATTCAGCACCAGAGTCACCCTTTGAAGGACTTTTGGGGGAGGACTGGGAAAGATAAAAATAGGAAAAAAAATTAAGAAAACAGAAAAGGATAATTTGGTAGCCCAAGGTGACCAGGAACTTGGGGCTGCCCAGTTGAGTGTGGCTGGAATTTGGAATGAAGAACTTGTCTGCAACATGGACAGTGAGAAACACCACCAGGGCCCCTCACGGTCCATCTGGGTTAGGCTCAACACTTATTTCCTTGCTTTGTTGTCTTTAAAATCAAATTTTTGACTGGGCATGGTGGCTCAAGCCTGTAATCCCAGAACTTTGGGAGGCTGAGGTGGGTGGATGACCTGAGGTCAGGAGTTCGAGACCAGCCTGACCAACATGGCCAAACCCTGTCTCTATTAAGACATGGTTGTGGGTGCCTGTAATCCCAGCTATTCAGGAGGCCAAGGCAGAGAATTGCTTGAACCTGGGAGGCGGAGGTTGCAGTGAGCCGAGATTGCACCAATGCACTCTAGCCTGGGTGACGGAGGGAGACTGTCTCAAAAAAAAAAAAAAAAAAAAAAAAAAAAAAAAAAAAAAATCAGCTAACTGTATGTCTCTCCATTTATACTATAATGACAAATGATAATTTTTAATTTTTTGTTGTTGGCATATGAGAGCATTATTTAAGTACCCCCATTCCTGAGGCATCTCAGCCAACTTCACTGCTAAGGGCACTTTTCTTCCACTTGTCTTAAAACTGGCATAACTTCCTAACATGACAGTTTGACTCAGGTAAGCCCTGCTCTTTATCTGAGGGGTGGAGATCATGGCCATCTCTATAGTTATTTGAGGAGAAACTTCTCTTTAACTGTAGATGATCTAGTGTTTTTCCTCCAATGTTTTTCTACAGGAGAAAACTGCCTTCTGAGGGAGATACCCTCCCAGAACCCACTGCAGGGACCTCACTTTCATCACTGACTTCCTATGGCTTGGGAGTGTTTATAGATAAAGTTATACTCTTAGGTGATAAATGTAGCGTGGGTATTGAAAGTTAGCTCGAAGAGGCCGTGTGTGGTGGCTTACACCTGTAATCCCAGAACTTTGGAACACTAAGGTGGGCGGAACACCTGAGGTTGAGAGTTCGAGACCAACCTGACCAACATGGAGAAACCCCATCTCCACTAAAAATACAAAAATTGGCCGGGCATGGTGGTGCGTGTCTGTAATCCCAGCTACTCAGGAGGCTGAGGCAGGAGAATCACTTGAACCTGGGAGGCAGAGGTTGTGGTGAACCAAGATTGCACCATTACATTCCAGCCTGGACAACAAGAGTGAGACTCCGTCAAAAAAGAAAAAGAAAAGAAAAGAAAATTTAGCTGCAAGAAAACAAAATTTCGTTCCTTTTTTTTTTTTTTTTTGAGACAGGTCCTGGTTCTGTCACTTAGGCTGGAGTGCAGTGATGCAATCTCAGCTCACTGCAGCCTCTAGCTCAGAGCCTCAAGCAATCCTCTCACCTCAGTCTCCAGAGTAGCTGTGACTACAGGCATGTGCCACCGTACCCAGCTAAGTTTTGTATTTTTTGTAGGGACAAGGTCCCACTATGTTGCCCAGGCTGGTGTCCAATTCGTGGGCTCAGGCAATCCTCCCATCTCAGCTGCCCAAAGTGCTGGGATTACACATGGTGAGCCACCATGCCAGGCCTCATTCCACGTGTGGTGGCTGATATTTGCAATCTTTTCTTTTTTGTTTTCTTTTTGATAGGACAATTAGGACTCTGATCACCTTTGTCTGACTAGTCAACTCAGCCAATCTAGTCCAAAGTATTTCTTCCTTTGGGACACCTTTTGAGGCCTCTCCATACAGAGTAAGTCCCTTAACTTTCTGTTCTTAGAGATAGCGCCTTCATTCTTGCTGTCGGGTGGCACAGATCCCATTTCATGAGTGTTCGTGGCTCTCCTAGGCTATGGGCTTCCTGAGGGCAAAGGCCAATTAACAGTGACATTTATATCCCTTAGAGGTCTCTCCTGGATCCTGGCTCAAATCAGCTCCAAATCAGTGCTGGCTAAATGAATTGAGAATCATGTGAACACATTTCTGTTCCAAAAAGGAAAGCTCTCATTTTCTCAGATGGGGCAGGCTCCTTCCGACAGCAGTATTTATTGTATTTATCTTTTTATTTTTGACATGGAGTCTCACTCTGCTGCTCAGGCTGGAGTGCAGTGGGGTGATCTCGGCTCACTGCAACCTCGATCTCCTGGGGTTCAAGTGATTCTCCTGCCTCAACCTCCCAAGTAGCTGGGATTACAGGGGCACACCACCATGCCAGGTTAATTTTTTTTTTTTTTTTTTTTTTTGAGACAGAGTTTCGCTCTTGTTACCCAGGCTGGAGTGCAATGGCGCGATCTCGGCTCACCACAACCTCCGCCTCCTGGGTTCAGGCAATTCTCCTGCCTCAGCCTCCTGAGTAGCTGGGATTACAGGCACGCACCACCATGCCCAGCTAATTTTTTGTATTTTTAGTAGAGACGGGGTTTCACCATGTTGACCAGGATAGTCTCGATCTCTTGACCTCGTGATCCACCCGCCTCGGCCTCCCAAAGTGCTGGGATTACAGGCTTGAGCCACCGCGCCCGGCTCCATGCCAGGTTAATTTTTTTGCAGTTTTAGTAGAAATGGGGTTTTACCATGTTGGCCAGGCTGGTCTCAATCTCCTGACCTCAAATGATCTGCCCGCCTTGGCCTGCCAAAGTGCTGGGATTACAGACAAGAGCCACTGAGCCTGGCCCCAATGCAGTATTTCCTTGTATTTATTAGGCTGTCCATCCTGGGTTAGGACTTGCACCTGACTGATATCTGGAATGACTTTTGATTAGGATGGGCGTGTTTCCTCACTGACTCTGGCCAAAGTCATGATGAAGCAGGCTCCACCCTTGCCGTCTGGGATGAGACATTGGCCTCTGTTGTCACCAGCCTCTTCCTGTAGTAACTGCCTCACAGAGACAGAAGCCGTCTACAGCATCATTTCCATGTGGGACCTTGCCAACTTGTCCTTTTCTATAAGGACATCAGAACAACACATTCCAGGAAATGAGAAAAGCAGGCAGAGATTTTTTTAAAATTCTAAAATTTGTGTTTTTTAAAAAATTATTTTATTTATTTTTGAGACAGAGTTTCCCTCTTGTTGTCCAGGCTGGAGTGCAGTGGTGCATTCTCAGCTCACCAATACCTCTGCCTCTTGGGTTCAAGTAGTTCTCTGGCCTCAGCCTCTGGAGGAGCTGGGGTTACAGGCATGCACCACCACACCTGGCTAATTTTGTATTTTTAGTAGAGATGAAGTTTCTCCATGTTGGTCAGGCTGGTCTTGAACTCCCAACTTCAGGTGATCTGCCTGGCTCGGCCTCCCAAAGTTCTGGTATTACAGGCGTGAGCCACCGTGTCCAGCTAAAATCTGTTTATTTTTGAATAAATAACACCTTTGCATGGTTCAGAATTCAAAAGATACAAAATGATACAGAGTAAAGTTCTCCTCCCAGCTCTGTTCTTCAGCTGTCCAGTGGCCCTCCTTGGAGGAAAGTGCACCTATATGTGACTACAGATTTGAATGTTTCTGTTGCCCTCACTCTTTCCTCTTTCTGGGGGTTTCTCTTGTCTCCTTCACAGCAACATTCATTTCACTCTGCCCCAACTCCAAACCCTGGTACCTAGCTGCATGCTCTGGACAGGCACCTGGCAAATGTTGGGGATCAGCTGAGAGCTTGTCTGTAATCCAAGAATATTTGTGGAGTCTGGGCTTGGAGCATCTTTGTTTGATAGTGAATTAGATGCATTTTCATTCAGTTATGTTTTTGTTCTTCCAAGAGAAGCCAAGAAGCTTTGATTGTCCCATCAGCCCCCCTCGTACTGTCTTCCTTTCCTAAGCCATCACTTCCATTTATATTGCTGCCAGTTGAGGATGGTTTAAGGCTCACTCACACATTTTTCAGGGGATGATTGTGCAAGAAATGTTGATGTTTTCCAATACTTCTTTGGCCTCTTCAATTGTTTCTTCTTTTGGCTTGTGCAAGAAAAAAATCTTTACCCCTGTCCTCACTCCCATCAACACACATCTATACATGCATGGGGGCCTCTCTCTGCCCTTCTCTTCTGGAAACCACTGAAAATGAGCAAAGAACTGAAAGGTAGACTCCTGTCTTCTGTAGATAGGCGCTTTTCAGCTCTTATGTATAGTTGTTTTGAGGTGTCAAGAGTTTTGGAGATTTTTTTCCCTTTCTCTTTCAAGTCAGGCCCCTCCAGCAGCCTGCCTCTCACCTTGGAAGGTGGGGAGAATTCACCTGCTTTTTTGGCCACTTTCGGTCCACTCTGCTGCTCTCCTTCCTGGTGCATTCTGGAGTCCCCTGGCCGCTCAGAGACCATGGGCCTTGGAGCAGTTCCCTCAACTTCCTCTCTCCTCTGGATGCCTAGCCAGCGACCGGTCAAGAGGCAGCCCCACAGTCCTCTGGGCAGCAGGGGCCGGTGATTAAGTAGCCAGGTCCTTAGCTGATTCCATCCTTGTTTGTCATAACTCTGCTGCAAGTTATTTTGGTCTCTGTGACTTGTGGCGGCACCATGATTAGGGTTTGATTACTATCACCAAAGCGACTAAAAGATGAAAATAGAAGCCACAACAGGAAATAAACAACTGCAAATGAGATATTTTATTCCATATCCCCTGCCAGCAAATGATTAGAATCAAACTCATTCACAATAGTTTGGTGAACTCCTAAACTTTTTTTTGAAGGGTCAGAATAGTCTGAAACTGTGCATTTGTTGGCCTCCTTTGTGCCTGTGGAAGGGAAAGAAAGAAACTCCCTTTCTAGGCATACCAACCAGCCCGGAGTTCCTCTATTGCCAGGCTTTCGGCTTCTTTCTTGGAATGGAGAGGGATTAAGAATGTGACGGGTGGGGCTAACGGGAAGGTTGGGATGTTAACTGATTCACGGGATGCCAGGGAGCTATAAAGCAGTACCAATCATTTAGCTACTTGCTCAGCACCCCCCCACACCTTCCACCCAGGGTAGCAAAATGGAAGAGGAAAGCCATGTAGAGAGGGGTGACACCTGAATTAATACACCTACAATTACACTGTATGGGAACATATCTCTGCAAGTACATGCATGTTCCACCCAAACTGTGACGTCAGACTCCACTCCTGAAACACCCATGAAACCTACCTGCCCTGTGTGTGCTCTGGCCTCTCCTTATAGAGCCTTAGCACTGCTGGCCAGATCTCCAAAAGATTCTTCGGATTCTCCATTTAGCCAAGAAGCTTAATTAGAATTATGACCTCTGCTTTCTCTGCTTATTTAAGTCCTTTCTGTTTCGATGAAGCCTGGTCTGACCACTCTCAAAAAATGAAGATCTTTTAGGGAGACCCAGAACAGAGAGGGAATGAGACCCTAAAGGGCAGGAAACTTACACAGAAAATCTCATAAACCCTGACAAGTGCTGGCCTAACGTGGGGATCGCTGTTGGCCCAAGTTGCTTAACCAGTGAGTGGCAACGCCCCAGCCTAGAATCAGGTTTTCTACCTCTAGTCTGGTACTCTTTCTAAGCCTTTCTAAGGTGAAAATATGATACATTTCCCAGACACTTTAAAAATCCCATTTCTGTCTCTTCCATCTTCCCTTGTCTATAGCGATAGGATCACCCCTTCTCCATTCTCTCCTGTGATTACTTCGCTGCTGTCTTTACAGTGTGCTCTTAGAATGTTTTATATACACACATAAGGTTTCCATGCCCTTTTCAACAAGCCATATTTTAATTTACAACAAAATTATGATGTTATACAGTTGCAGCTTATGTGGCCTTACACAGTAAATGTTCAGAATGGCAGCTTCTGTCCTGTCCAGCAGATTTCGGCACTGCTTGGCAGCCTATCCTCCAAGTCAGTAAGTGTTAGGATCTCCTTGCCTGGGATGATCTTGTAAGCAATGTTGCTGATTTCTTTGGTGGGGTGGAGGAAGGGTCCAAATGGCCCTTAAGCCCTAAGTGTTGATTTCTAAATATTTATTAAGTATCTACT